CCCCAAAACCCCAAAACCCCAAAACCCCAAAACCCCTAATCAACAAAATTAAATGAAAAGAATGTGATTATAAGTTGTAATAATAAATATGGAAGCGATCCCTGATTTGTCTGAAGATAATCCTCGTACCACTCATTCAAGGCCAAAGAAACACAAGAAGGCTAAGTTAGGGAATAATAAGTTTTCTCAAGCGCCTACTAATATTGTTGAAACTAATGAAAAGTATTCAGAATCCTACAGAGCATACAATGACGAGGGCAAACTTGAAGAGATCCCTATAGACATGAAAGAATTAGGAGAGACAGTTATTGAATTTGATAATCTAAGTAAAGAATACAAGCTTGAGGGAAGAGATGATCTTGTTGTGGCTTTAAGATCAGCCACTCTTTCAGATGAATCAGAATTTTATCCAATCAAAAGAGGTGAATTTGTAATGATTCGTGGACCTTCTGGTGGAGGAAAAACAACGTTACTAAACTTAATCGGAACAATCGACACACCTTCAAGTGGAAATTTGAATATTTTGGGTACTGAAATTGATTCGAAATCTACTGATAGCTTCTTATCAGATCTTAGGCTCAGTCATGTAGGATTTGTATTCCAGACATTTAACTTACTTGCTACTATGACAGCTCTTGAGAATGTAGAACTTCCTATGATACTTCTTGGAAAATTATCTGCAAAGGAAAGGAAAAATAGATCTATCGCCTTATTAAAAAGAGTTGGACTTGGGGACAGATTGCATCATCTGCCAAGCGATTTATCTGGGGGAGAGCAACAAAGAGTTGCAATTGCAAGAAGTTTAGCTAATGAGCCAGAGATCCTTCTTCTTGATGAACCTACTGGTGATCTTGATACTAGATCAACTGTGGAAGTTATGGACATTTTGTTTTCAATTAATAGGAGAGGACCAAAAGGTGACAAGAACAATCCAACAACTTTAGTTATGGTTACTCACAATCCTGAACTTGAGTGATATGCAGATAGAATACTGTATGTACAAGATGGAGAGTTTATAAAACAAGCATTAAATATGGTTCAGCTTGCTTTAAAAATTGATTAATCACAATTATGTTTCATTGAGCAATCTTCTTGTCTATGTTTAATGTTAGTCGCAAAATTCTTACATTTTTGATAAGAAAATAGCCTAATTTCAACTAAAGATTTAGTTTAAGGGGTTTTGGGGTTTTGGGGTTTTGGGGTTTTGGGGTTTTGGGG